TATTGGAGAATCGGGATTTTGACCCTGTCGGGATTTTGGCTTGTCGGGATTTTGGTTCGTCGGGATTCTGGCTTGTCGGGATTCTGGCTTGTCGGGATTTCGGCTGTCGGGATTATGTCCTGATACCCTTTATATATATATATATATAAATCAAAAAGTAAAAACAAAAACGAATACATTTTTGTTCCTTCAATATGAAGGTCTAAGCTTTTCTTCTCTGGATAAAATATACCAAACTGAATAAATGCAAATAAAGAAGCTCTTAAAAATGGAATCTTTAAATGAAATTTAAAATGAGAAAAGAGATATATTAAAAAAAATTACAGAACATTATACTTAACAAAACAAAATAACTTTTATTATATATATATATATACATATACACACACACACAAATACATATTAGATAAGCTATCCCTCTCTGTCTGTATAATATATTGTTACATTCTTTTTCCGACACCAGTTGTTATGTTATTTTCTTCCTTCCCTTCACGTTCGTAGGGGGTTCGTACATTTGAAATTAATAACGATGACACTTGATAAAGTATCGAAACACACTTTATTTAGCCAATATTAAACAGGACAGCTCCAAAGTCACGTTTTACAGTCGTCAAAGATCTACTATACACTCGCTGGAACAATCAGCGACACAGCCTTCAGGTTATCAGGCTATAACGGTGGAGGCAGCTTCACTGCAAAACATCAGAGTACAGCTACCGACTCTGCTTGGTTGCTCTCAGAACTCCACGTACTCTTGAGACTCTCCATACTACAAATCGCTATGCACTTGACGACACACAGAACACAGCTCCCGACTCTTCAGTTCCATCGTTCCCGGAGCTCAACACGCTCTCTCGACGATGCACTAACCACGATACAATAAGAGACTCTTTCGATGCACTTGACGATCGACTCGGCACTCACTGCCTGACTATCAACTCGCTAGATCAGGCACTAACTCGATACTAACTATCTCACACTCTCTAACTCCGCTTACCAGTAAGGTTTATATAGTTTTTGGCTTGTGTTTGAGAACATTCTGGGCTAATCTGGTAAGAATTCGTTCCAGAAGGTTCTCCATCCGTCCATGGCATATCGCCACGCCAAATGGACAATTTCTCGCCAAATGTGGCAACCCTGCTTCCCTTTCCATTTTATGAAACCCTAAACCTGCTTTGCGGGGAAGCCATCTTACCACACCTGTACATTTCGTAACAATGTCCTCTCCCAAGGACTGCACGTCCCAGGCATTACAACCCTTGGTCAGACACCAAATTTGATACAATCAAAACGCTTTAAAACATACAGATAACATAACTAAAGAAGCAAATATTTACACTATATGCACAAGTTAGATACACAAATTAAACACATAACAATTTTAAATTATACAAATTAGTCTCAATTAAAATCTCTAATTAAAATCTAAAATCAAATGAAAGTCCAATTTCAGTCTCAGTCTTTTCATTAAAATATACCCAGGTCAAATACTTTTCCACTGCAGTTCTCAGATGTATTTTTGTTTTGCATATCACAGTCTGAAGATTCAGTCCTTTGAGACTTTTCATGCACAGAAAAATCTGAAACAGTTTGTTCACCACTCTGAAGTTTGTTCGCCTCATGTGTACAGTTCACCTCGGTATTTTCTGCAGCCGGTACATGCACATTTTCCTCTGTTTCCTGAGAACCAGCTCCAAATTCTGCATCAGAGTCATGAATGGAACCTGATACTTTAAAAACACAAGTATCCTGGTTTAGAATCAAGTCCGTGTCTGCATAATCTAAATTAGAAGACACACACTCAGTTTGTGGAGTGGGTGAATTTTCTTGCAATACTGGAGCACACTGCTTAAGCTGTACATCAGCTTCTTTCATCTCTGCATCACATGCATTTTCAGATGGTTCAGTACTCGTTAACTGAGACTTCACTATCAGTTTTGACGAACTTAACAATCGCATTTTCATTTTCTTCCACTTCAGGCACTTGAGAATCAAAAGCTTTTTCCCTCTCTTTTATTTCTTCATGTTTTCATTCTTTTCCTTTACTCCTGTTAGATGTTTCATCTATCATTTCTTGATCTTTCTCAGGCAGTTCATTAGCTACTTCTTCCATGTCTTCATCCTCTGATTCTTCAGATGCCACTTAAGTCATTTCTGCATCTTCTTTTATGGCTCCAATTTCTTCTGCAAGCTCCACTTTCATCTGTGAGAGTTGCTCTCGCAGCTTTTCTCGGCCGGCTTTCACCTCAGCTGTCATCTCTTCATATCCAGCTTTTATCTCGTCATATTCGGCTTTTATCTCAGTCAATCCGGCTTTCATTTCAGCCTTCATCTCTTCCTATCCGGCTTTTCTCTTGGCTCTTATCTCCTCCTGTCCAGCTTTCATCTCAACCCTCATCTCGGCTAAGAACTCCAGCAAAGTCTTTGTTTCCTCCGCCATGGCTTTCCTCTGCAGGCGGGTCACTGACATTTACTTGCAAATCCCACTTCTGACACCAGTTGTTACTTTATTTTCTTCCTTCACTTCACGTTTGTATGGGGTTCATAGATTTGGAGTGAATAACAATGACACTTGATGAAGTATCGAAACACACTTTATTTAGCCAATATTAATCAGTACAGCTCCAAAAACACGTTTTACAGTTGTCGAAGATCTACTGTACACTCGCTGGAACAATCAGCGACACAGCCTTCAGGTTATCAGGCTATAACGGTAAAGACAGCTTCACTGCAAAGCACCAGAGTACAGCTCCCGACTCTGCTTGGTCATTCTCAGAACTCCACGTACTCTCGAGACTCTCTACATTACAATTAGCGATGCCCTCGATGACACACAAGATTTATAGAGCACAGCTCCCAACTCTTCAGTTCAGTCATTCCTGGAGCACAACACACTCTCTCGACGATGCTCTAACCACGATACAATAAGAGACTCTTTCGATGCACTCGACGACCGACTCAGCACTCACTGCCTGACTATCAACTCACTAGATGAGGCACTAACTCAATTCTAACTATCTCACACTCTCTAACTCCGCTTACCAGCAGGGTTGATATAGTTTTTGGCTTGTGTTTGAGAACATTCTGGGCTAATCTGGTAAGAATTCATTCCAGAAGGTTCTCCATCTATCCATGGCATATCGCCAATTTCACACCAAATGGACGATTTATGGCAAAATATGGCAACCCTGCCTTCCCTTGCCATTTTATGGCAACCCTAAACCTGCTTTACGAGAAACCATCTTATTGCACCTATACATTTCGTAACAATATATTACTTAATGAAAACAAAAATTTGAATTTCAATACATATTCAATTTGGAGTAAAGAGTTGGTAATAAATGAATTATTCCAAAAAAGCAATAAATAACTGTGAAAAAATAAGAAAATGAGTTCAATTTTGAAATTTAATAAACATCAAATGTATGAATGCAATAACAATAGCTCAAAAATTAAGACCTTAACAATCAAAGTATAGTTTACATCTCCTGATGCATTTTCCTAAGGGGTTGGTGCATTAAGAGAAGTAAACTGATCAGCCTGTTTTTGAACTGATAATGACATAAATTTAAAACTGTAGTAAACTACAAAACAATTTTATCTTCAAATGTTCAGAAACCAGTTCAGAAATAGGCTGAAATACTTTTCTCAATACTTCAATCCCTTGAAGAAGATGTAAATACAGTCAAAAGTCGTTAATCCGGACTCGTCGGGACTTCGGCGATTCTGGATTATCGATTTTTCCGAATTATAGATCATCAGTTTAAATCTCGTAAGATGGTATGCAGAAATTCTAAAATTAAAAATATGAAACCGTAATTTATGAAATAAAGAACAATTATGATCTAAAGGGTATCAAAATTTACAAAAAAAAAAGAGCTTAATATTTATTTGTTTACTTTATTAAACATTTCTTTCAATGTAAGTTGTTTAAGTTGCTTCGTTTTATGTGATAATACTTTCTCTTTAATTCTATAAACAGATATAATTTCTTGTTCAGTTACAAAGTTCCGCTGTTCAAGTCCCGTTAATTGCTGTGCCGAGAAAACCGAATAACTTTTGAATCGAAATTTTTTCGTTTTCATTAACCTCTCTGTCACATTCTTCATGTCTTTATCCATTTTTTGCAACAATTCCACTTTTTGTTTGATGGACATCGAAACATACTTTCGTTTTGCGCGATCCTTTGGGAGCTCCAGAATCGGAAATTCTATTTGACATAATCGAAAGTTCAAGTTTACTTTATAATATTGCTCTTACAGTCTGCAAAAAATAATAAGCCGGATCCAATTCGAAGATTAATGAACAACGCAATCATCAACATTAACTGAAATAGATAATTAGATAATTTTAGCTTATACCGTCCGTTATACATAAAACGCGCACGCAAAAACGTATTCTGTGCTTGTGCACATGCATATGCGCAGTCGTAAAAGGTCGTACGTGCACGCGTAAACGCCTATGCGCATGTGTCAACGCGGCGCATGCGCAGAAAGTTTTTAGCTTTGAGGTCCGGATTATAGATCATTCCGGATTATGGGTGTCCGAATTAACGACTTTTGACTGTACTTCTTTGATTGAATTTAATTTTTGCACCCTACTGTTACTGCATTTATGCACTTGCTGTTAATTAAATTTCAAAATAGGAGTTTTTTTTTTTTTTTTTTTTTTTTTTTTTTTTTTTACAATGGTTTATTCCTTTTGCAAAATAATTTTATTTATGCCTAATTCTTTATTCCAAGTTGAATATGAATTGAATTTAAATTTTTATTATAGTTCAATACTGCCACCATATATTTAGCTTGAAGCACAAATTTGGGTATTGATTTTGGACTTTCCTTTTTACACATATACATATACACAACAGCTAAGCTAATATTACATATACTACTTACTATTATACAAACTAACTTACTTAGACTTACAAAAATATTATTGTTTCAATAAAATTCAATAAAAAATATTAACAACATTATAAACAGATTTAATATTTATTATACCTCTTTATAAAAATCTGGACTAATATTATGATGAGTTATTGAAGTGCTGGCTTCTGAACAATAAACTGGCTCTCCAGGACTGCCATAAATAACCTGTACAGAAATTGCATATGAGATAAACATACAATTACTCATAACTTACCATTTCTCCATTTTATAAAACAATAACAACAGAAGTAAAACTAAAAGAAATAAATTGTTCATAAACACATTATTAGAATCATATTCTTCTTTCTATGATTTAATTAAAACAGTAGGAAAAATAATGGAAAAGAAGTATTTATGAAAACTGTTTATCATTATGTACAAGCTCTCAGCTTGTAATAAATAGTAATTGCAGTACAAAAATACATAAAATTGCATGACATAAATAAAATGTGCAAGAAGAAGATTTTTAAAAAATGCAGAACAAGTACAATCAATCCTCATTAAACTCTCCCACCCCCAATCCCCCCAATAGGCCAGACAAAAGTGACAGCATAAGCAGGGATACAGAAAACATGAGTTAATGAAATTTTTCATTTTAACCAAGGCTGGATGTTCTAGAAATGAAATAGGACATATGAAAAAAGCATTTATGCAAATACTATTTCTAAGTACACACTACAATGCTACTTTAAAAAATAACTGCATTATACAGATAAAGAATACACTAAAAAAAGTCACTTATGTTTTATTTAAAAAAATCTTTAATTAATGCTTGTTTTAATACTACTAGTTTGTTAGTTTCCACAAGTTTTTGTTTTTCTTGCCATTGAAAAATCTTTGTAATCTACTTTTTTTAGGGGGGGGGAACAAAAAATTAAAATTCTTTTAACCTTATTTAATGCAATTATAGCACTTGATCTAGTTCATCACCACTTCTATCAGAGGACTCAGGACAGTGTAAAATTTTAATTTGGAAACAATATTTGGTGCTGAAATTTCTCCAAAGTTCATAATTACTTCACTGTCCAAAGAAACGCATTCATCTAAATCAAATTCTAAATTATGCTTTTTTAGTTCCTAGTCTTAAGTCTTATAAAGGGACATCATCCTCACTCTCACTCTCTTTAGGATTAGCTTCTGAAGAAAATACTTTGAAATCTGTATATCTAAATAGTTTTGGTTGAAATCATACTCCAGCTTTTCGCTATAGAAAATTGCATCAAGCACAGTAACAGAAAAGGAAGATATATCATCAAGGGCAGTTATAAAATACTTCAAAAGACTTTTTTTTATAGTTTAGTCACATTTGGTCGTAAGTAGATAATTTTTATGGCTTCTAAACTGTTTACCTGGGGTGAGCTGAGCAGTTGTCAATAAGTAAAGCTATTTCAACTTCTGCAAAAATTTTGCATCTAAGTTCTTGATTGTCTTTTCCAATAGCTCTGAAGTCATTCAAGCTTTGGAGTTGTCACTGGCAAAAATTTAACACCCTTAAAACACTGGGAGATTACAGATTTTCCTAAGATAATAGGTTAAATTTTTCTCACTGTCATTCATGTTGGATTTCGGTAAAACAGACAGTCTTTCTTTACTCTGTTTTTCTCATATGCATTTTTCCTTCTTGAAAGAAAGAGTTTTGCTGGGCAAAATTCTGCAAAACAATCTGCATCATCCACATTAAAATGTAACTAAGACCACACTGTTTGCAAACTTTTTTTATCAACATGTTTTTCCAATCAAAGACAACCTCTGAATCTACATCAGATGCTACTGTCTTGATTTTTTTAATGATGAGTCATGTCTTATCTTTAGCCTTTCTAGTCTTCCATTAACAGCTGCAAAGCTTTATTCTGTGAGTTCAACAGCAATTTGAAAACATTTTTTCCTTCAAATGTGAAGTGAAAATTGGCACTTTTCTAACCTGGCATATTTTATCCATGTGGTTAAAGCTTTTTCAATTTCCTGATAAGGAGATACTCACTGTTTTTTTCTTTATTATCACAATCTATAGTGTCCTCTGATGATAAAATATCATTTAATGATGCTCGAAAAATTCCACAGGCTTTTGCAAGGTAGCTTTTGACTGATTTGATTTCTCAAACTCCTTGATAATTTTGTCTTCAATAATATTGAAATTTTATGTTTTTCTGACAGACATGAGTGTTCAAGTTTCTGCTTTCAAACTAAAAAAAACCAGGAATGACTCAGAAAAACTTCAAGTTGAACATATGTGCCAAAATCTGTCCATCTAGTTATTTTCCCACAAATGACAAGGGCACATACAGATGCCAGTTATTGTGTGAATGAGTGAGAGAAAGGAGGAAAATTGAGGATACACTGTAATCTTTTTCTTTCTTTCTTTTTTTTTTTTTTTTTTTTTTTTTTTTTTTTTTTTTTTTGTCCCATTCACCTGATATACAATAAAGTATTATTACCTTTAAAGGTTCAGCATTTTCATCATCACTATCCCTGAATTCTATTGTGCACACAATATTTCTGGCCTAAAATGGGAGGAGAGATGAGACAGATACATTTATAACAAATACTTCAATTCACAATCAAACAACAAACAACTTCAATATAAAAATTGTGGTCCATATATTATTCTATTGTTTTAAAGCACACAACTAAATATTATAAACAAATACAATTTTCAAGGTCCGATCGCTCATGAAAACTCCTGTGAAAAATCTGATGACACTGTGTGCAGATATGTTGCACAGTGTACTCTAGTATGCTCATTGATCACATCAGGTGCGCACTAAGCATATAAACATGGCTTGAACTAATAGTCTCTCCTGCTAAGTATGACATTTGTGCTGTCATTTGATTTCTGCATGCTGAAGGCTGCAATGCAGCCAAAATTCAGCAATAAATAAGTAACGGGCATGGAGAAATTTTCACGAATAATGGCAAAGTGTGACAATGCTGCAGGAACTTTGAAGCAGGACATACAAATGTTCATGATGCAGGCGGGCTGGGAAGGAAGAGAGTGTTAACCAATGAACTTCTTTAGTGAGTGGATCAGGCGATTAAAAAAAGTCATCAGTTCACAATTCCTGTGCTTAGTGATACGTTTCCCAAAATTTCATGGTCAGCTCTTTGTACCATCATGATGAGTGACAGACACCAATACCACAAACTCTGTTTGAGATGGGTTCCAAAGGTGCTGTCCGACCATCACTAAACACAGTGTATAGGTGCCGCCTTAATATTTCTCCAGCGGCATCACAATGAAGGAGAAAAGTTTTTGCACAAAAACTGCCACAGGGGATGAGAGAGGGATCCCTTTCAAAACTAAAGAAACAAAACAGCAATCCAAACACTGGATTCATACTCATTTGCTGAGTAAACCAAAGAAGTTCAAGGCAACCCTTCTCCAGCAAAAAGTATATGGCTACTGTGTTCTGGGACCAAAAAGATGTTCTCTTGGTGGAATTCAAGGAATGTAGCATGACCATCAAGCCTCGTACAGCGTTACTCTTCAACATATAAGAAGGACAATTCAGAATAAGTGCAGAGGAATGGTGTCATTAGATATTGTCCTTCTTCATCACAATGTGCGATCACAAACTGCAACTGTAACAAAGACGCTTCTGCAGCATCTTTGCTGCAGCTGCAGAGACTCCTACAGCATTTTTGATGGGACATGTTCGATCACCCACCATACAACCTAGACTTAGCTACTTCCGATTATCTTTGCTTTGCTCACATGAAAGGCTAGCTAAAAGGATAGAAGTTTGGCTTGGACAATAAGCTTCAGACCAGCATAGAGAATTCGCTAAAAGTACAGAAAACTGTCTTTTATGATAAGGATATTGGAAAGTTGGTATCACACTGTAACAAGTGTCTCCGTCGGAGCGGTGACTTCGTAGAGAAGTAGCTGAAAGGCATATCTAAATTTTCCAAATAAAACAGTCTTGACTTTCAATGTAGTTTTCATTTTGCGACTGATTGGACCTCGAAAAAAATAGCTCTTGTAATTTAAAATAAATTAACTTTTGCTTTAATTACACATCATACTTTAGATTCAAATTATTAAACAGAATACATATGTATAACAACAAATTAGTGTTAAACACATATACATATCCATACAGATTTATAAATTTTCTATTAGGACTTCCTACTGTACAAACATTTCTAGGTGGTTATTAAGTTCTTGCCATCTTAAATATGGAATAGGAAGATCATGTCAGTGGTTAAAATGGTTGCCTGAATAAGCTAGCAAAACTCTTGGAGTTAAGCAATAACACACATATTGCATTCCTGACATATACCTACAGTAAAAAATAAAAGAATGTAAAATCAGGTAACCTTGGTACAGTACAAAGTCTTTAATCCGGACATCCATAACACGGAATGATCTATAATCTGGACCTCAAAGCTACAAACTTTCTGCGTATGCGTTCACGCATTCGCATAATATATTTACGCATGTGCATATGCATTTACGCATGCACATAATATGTTTGCGCATGTGCGTTTAATGTATAACGGACGGTATAGGCATGGTTAAAATTATCTAATCATCTATTTCAGTTAATGTTGCAGATTGCCTTGTTCCTTAATCTTCTAATTGGATCCGGCTTATTATTTTTTGCAGACTGTTAGAGCAATTTTTTAAAAAGTAAGCTTGAACTTTCGATTATGTCAAAAAGAGTTTCCGATTCTGGAGCTGCGAAAGGATCTACAAAGGAAAAGCATGTTTCGATGTCCATCAAATAAAAAGTGGAATTGCTGCAAAAAATTTATAAAGGCATGAAGAAAGTGACAGATAGGTATTTTGTTTCTCTAACCATTCCGAAATCTGTTTATCAATTTTACGCTGCTCTGCAGGGGGGGGGACGTCGCAGCATGCAATGAACTGGAAGTAGATCTGTCAGCACTATCCTCATCTTCAGGGTAGATGTTTTTATTTTATTCGGTTTATAATTCCTTACTAAATGTAGTGTTTCATCTTCGACTATGCGTAATGTATGCTTTACACATGTGCGTGTTGAAAGAAATGTTTAATAAAGTAAACAAATAAATATTAAGCTTTTTTTTTGTAAATTAAATTTTGATACCCTTTAAATCATAATTGCTCTTTATTTCATAAATTACGGTTTCATATTTTTAATTGTATAATTTCTGCATGCCATCTTACCAGATTTAAATTGATGATCTACAATCCGGAAAAACTTGCAATCCGGAATCGCCGAAGCCCCAACGAGTCCAGATTAAAGACTTTGTACTGTATTACCAATAATTTGATATTTTGCACTTGACCAATAAGATTAATTTGACATTAATACCCTATTACAGCGTTATCTGCAAAACCCTGTGGGTTTTCATATCAAAGCGCATTTTCTAATTATTTTGTCACTCTTGATAAGGAATAGTTTTGATCAAAGTGGATGTTTAAATACTTTCTTTTTTGCTAATGTTGACTATTCTAGCATGTGTTGTTGCTGATGACACAGTATAATGTTCGTTTGAGAAGTTTAAGTGTGAATATTTCAGCCTCAGAGATGATGCCTGCTTTGGATGACCATCTTTCATAAACAAGTGTCAATTAAAAGAAGCTACAGATGAAAATTTGAATCATGCAGTTCGAAAACTACTAGACAGACTAAGTATTTCAAAAAGTAAGGTACACAATCATTTGAGCTACTATGATATATGGTATGATATATAAGCTGCTAATGGTATATGGGTACACTATACTTCAGTAGAGCAAATTATGCTTGCTCGAATTTCGGCATGTGATTCTTTGCTGAAAAGAAGTGCAGAACCTTCTTTTTTTAAATGCTTCATTGCTGGAGATGAGAAGTGAATACTGTACAATAAAGTTACAAGAAAAATATAGAACTTAAGCCAAAAGAATCTTCTTTTAGTAACATCATAAGGGAGGCAACAACTCAAAAAAGTAAGACTCTGTATTTGGTGGGACTCCAGAGGAACTATAACACTGTGAACTGTTGCCACTGCATCAGACAATAAATTTGGAAAAATACTGTGTAGAGTGAGGAAGAAAATACCTTATATACTCTCCCCCTTTTAAAAGGAGACTGGGAATTAGGGGATCCTATCGCCAAATCCTGGTGGTAAAGAATCATCATCCACTACTGTTCCGTCTTTTTGGTAGATAGGTGGCGCTCTTGATGCGCGCCGATGAAAAATATAGCACTTGACGCTTGAACATAAAGAATGACGCATGTCATATTTATTTGATGCTTAATTATGTTTCATGGCCGCTATAAGCGGAAGTAATATAAGTTTATCGTTAATAAATGTTATTTATATGTTCTGTGAAATTTGAAGTTTTGATTTGAAATTCTAATGCTCTCCCAACCTTGACTCCTGAAACGAAACGATCTTTGAATTTATGACTCATGAAGAGAGCACACACATACATTTTTCTGGTGTCTGAAACCCGCGACAAGGGGAATTACCTTTTGAAAGGTAAGACTTTTGATTTATTTGTTCTTGGTATCGATCTTTGAAAACGAAGCATGATGGATGATTTAGCAAAAGAGAAAAAGAAACGTGCTATTGTATGTAGTAAAGTTACTACACTTCTAAATAAACTTGAGAAATTATTATCGGAAGCATTAAGTAAAGAACATGTAGAAGATCTAAATTAATCATATGAATTGTTAATTGAATACCATGATAAATTTAAAATTCTTGACTCAAAGATCGATGCTCTCATAATTGATGAAAAAGAATATGATAACGAACTACTTGTATGTGAAGAATATGATGAAAAAATTATAACGTTTAAAGCTAAGATTGTTAGTAAAGTAAAGAAAATTAACAGTAATGAAGTTGTTGAAAGAAGTATAATTGCAACTAGTAATGGTATTAGTAGTACTCTGAATGGTAATAATGTTGTTACAAGTAGTGCTTCAGTAAAGTTACCTAAATTAAATATTGAAAAATTTGCTGGTGATCCCAGTAAAGTAAATGGCTCGAATTCTTTAATTCGTATGATAATGCTATTCATTCTAATCCAAGATTATCTAAAATAGATAAGTTTACATATTTGAAAAGTTTATTATCTGGTTCAGCATATAATTGTGTTTCTGGTTATGCTTTATCTGAAGAAAATTATGATCTATGTATTAAAAGTTTAGAAGAGAGGTTTGGTCGTAAAGATGTTATTATATCAAAATTCATGCAGATGTTGTTACAGTTAGAACCAGTTAAAGGTTCTTCAAATGTTTTTGAGTTAAGAAAGCTCTATGATCAGTTACAAATCTGCGTTAGAAATTTAAGTAGTTTAGATGTTACTAGCGGTTCATACGGACAGTTATTGAACCCAATAATTCTTAAATTGTTACCTGAAGATTTAGCTCTTGAATTCCATAGAAAAAGAACATCTAACCAAAATATAGAAGTAAGTGAATTAATAGAGTTCATTAAAATAGAAACTGAATGCCGAGAAGCAAGTATTTTGATTAATAGCTCAAAAGGTAATAAATACACAGGGGTTAATCCTAAACAAGGGTTAAAA